ACCCCAAAAAAACAAAAAAACCCAACCCAACCCTCCTCCCTGTGAATAGGCAATCATAATAATAAACTTAATCGAGAAGCTCTTCAATAATGACCCTTTTCTAATGCTGTCTTCTTCTCCAAAGTAAATATAAATGTAGATGTTGTGGAAAAAAGACATTGATGTGATTCCAATTCCAATCTAGATGGGTCTTCTGAAAGATATTTCATTACACTTGACATCCATTGTCTCTGAGGAGATTTGATTGTAGCCTCCTTATCGATTGTGATAAACTATGGATGTGAAAAATCTTCTATTGAGGTTGAGTTCCCACACCAAACATCAGCAAAAAAACATCTCTGTTGTCATCTCTGACCTTGAAGCCAATGAATCCAAAGAACTAGTGTTATCAAAGGCGAAAAGCGCAAAAAAGCTCTAAGGTCTATTGGGGCTTTAAGCGCAAAGCGCAAATAAAGCGTGGGCTTTATTGAAGAAAAGCGCAAATGGAGAAGAACTATAATTATGTATGTGTAGTCCAAGACTAATATCTATAAGCATGAATACCAAATATATGGACAGAGAAATTGAAGAAAATTTACGATAAAGTGAAATATCAATTGTTTAGTGTCGCCTCTTCAGGATTACGCTCATTGGCAAGGAAAAGTATGCCTTGGAGCCTTGATGCCAACACTGAAGCGCCCGCTAAGCGAAACGAAGCGAGCCTCACTTGAGGGCTTAAGCGTGCTTTAAGCGGACCTTTGATAACACTGCAAAGAACTCATTCCAACACTGTAATCCGTTCTTTTTATCCAGTGATGTGTCAGATAGTTGTCAGGCCCCTGGTTTGGCCAAGCACTTTTTTGTTATGGGCTTTTTTTTTCTTTTTTTTTTTGGTTTGGGGTTGTTGTGCTTTTGAAGTATGTGTATAGACCCCTGAGTACTCTTTTACAGAACATCAGGGACGTTCTTTAATCATTTGCTCTATTAGTGTGACCAGCTGAAACCACTTCTACTCGCACAACTAAATGGAAATTGATTCACCAATTTATACAGCAATGTACAATCTTTAGGGAACTTCCATTTACAGCCCTTTTTTTTTTTTGGAAAACAAGGGTGATTAGAAGGAAAATAAAGCAAATGGAAATTATTGTAGTAGTAAAGCTGACACCAGTGGCTAAAGTGTGAAGTTATAATGTCTTTGACAAATTGTCGTTTTGGTAATGCAGAAAGCATATACTGGCCAGTTTTTGTCATTGCAACTTTAGCTGCTATCGTTGCAAGTCAAGCAACCATTTCTGCTACATTTTCGATAATCAAGCAAGCTCTGGCACTTGGCTGTTTTCCAAGAGTTAAGGTTGTACATACATCAAAGAAGTTCATTGGGCAGATTTATATTCCTGATATAAATTGGATACTTATGATTCTTTGCATCGCTGTAACTGCTGGATTCAGAAATCAAAGTCAAATTGGCAACGCATATGGTGAGTACGTGTGTTGAATATAATATTGCTTGATTTCGTTTGAGTTTTTACTGAGAAGCAAAGTGGGTTCACTGAATAAAACTGGCTCAGACACCATCATTATCCAAAAAATGAAAAAAGAAGACTGCTCTGAGCCATTGGTTAAAAGTGTGTTGGTAAAAAATTCACTATCTATATAAGTAAATATATTCCACGAAACAAAAACAAAAAACAAAGTGTACAGCAAAGACTAAACCCCTTGACAAAATGGAGAACTGTGACATAGCAGCAAAGTGGGTTCACTCAGTAGAGTAATGCGTCTGAGCCTTCAATGTAGCTATCTTTCACCATCTTCTAGAGAAAGACCAGAATGATAACGTTATTATTCGTGGGTTCACTCAGTAAAGTCATGCGTCTGAGCCTTCAATGTAGCTCTCTTTCACCATCTTCTTGAGAAAGACCAGAATGATAGCGTTATTATTCGTGAGTCTGTTTATGACTTAATAAATTGTTAGTCTACTGTGTTATAGGTTGCTAAATTAGTATTGTGATTTTAAACAAAGGGCAGTCTGGTGTATGAAGCATCCCGTGTTCACACAGGGTCTAGGAAAGGGTCGCGCCCCAAAGAGTGGGATGTTGGCAGCCTACCCTGATGCAAGCATCAATGGATGATTCCACGGTTCGAACCCGTGACCTAAGTCACACGGAGACAACTTTACCGTTGCTCCAGGGCTTTCTTTCAAATTAGTATTGTGATTATTGATTACAAAAATAATGCATGAAAATTAAGAAATGAATTAATTGTAAAATTAAACATAAAATTCAAAATTAAAATGCTTTGTTCAAATCCTCTGAAAATTGGGTCATGGAACAAAATGATTGTTCTGTTCAGTAGTTTAATATAATAATATAAAGGGCGATGAACATGGGAAAATAAGAATACTAGGCTTGCTGCCCCGGTGCCCCCTGCTGCTCGCTATTGCTTTGCCACTACATTTTACGGCTGAGTTTCTGGCTGAACCCACTTGTGCAAATCCTGGGTCTCATTACTTTGAATGATTCCGTTTTCTTATCTATTGTAGATTCCTGCGTTTAGCATTTACACCATATGTTGGAAGACCTCACCTTGAAACCTGCATACTAATGTAACATTTTCTTGAACAGGAACGGCGGTCGTGATAGTCATGTTGGTGACCACGCTCCTCATGACCTTAATAATGTTACTGGTTTGGCGCTGTCATTGGGTTCTTGTCCTTGTCTTCACTGTCTTATCTCTGGTGGTTGAATGTACCTACTTCTCTGCAGTGCTATTTAAAGTTGATCAGGGTGGTTGGGTTCCGCTTGTGATTGCTGCAGCTTTTCTTGTCATCATGTATGTCTGGCATTACGGAACTGTGAAACGTTATGAATTTGAGATGCACAGCAAGGTGTCTATGGCATGGATTCTTGGGCTTGGCCCCAGTTTAGGACTGGTACGTGTCCCGGGGATAGGACTTGTCTACACCGAGCTGGCTAGTGGGGTGCCACACATCTTTTCTCACTTCATTACAAATCTGCCAGCTATACATTCAGTTGTGGTATTTGTCTGTGTGAAGTATCTTCCAGTTTACACAGTTCCAGAAGATGAGAGGTTCCTCGTGAAACGCGTAGGACCCAAGACTTTTCACATGTTCCGCTGTGTTGCAAGGTATGGTTACAAAGACCTCCATAAGAAAGATGAGGAGTTCGAGAGAAAGCTCTTTGATAATCTCTTCCTATTTGTCCGGCTGGAGAATATGATGGAAGGCTGCTCTGACTCTGATGAATACAGCTTATACGGACAGCAAACGCAGAATTCGATGGATTATTTACTGCAAAATAAGAGCAACCCAACTACAGGAAATAATACATGTTCGTCGATGGAATCAATAGTACCCGTAAAATCTCCCACTCAAGGAAGCAATACAGTCACATCATCATCAGGCCGTGAGAGCAGCCAGGCAGAAGTGGACGAATTAGAATTCTTGAATCGTTGTCGAGATGCTGGGGTTGTACACATTCTTGGAAACACTGTAGTTAGAGCAAGGAGAGACTCTAGGTTCTATAAGAAAATTGCTATCGACTATATATATGCGTTTCTTAGGAGAATATGCAGGGAAAATAGTGTGATCTTCAACGTACCTCATGAGAGCCTCTTGAACGTTGGACAAATTTTCTATGTATAAATATTTTTGCAAATGATCAATCGAGGATATTATTGACTTGTTCCCCGCGTATGGACATCTGATCTCTAGTTTACTAAAATAGTTACCGAAATTAATGAGGTTTGCTTGACATCTTTCAATATTAATATATGGGTAGCTTACTGTTAGCCCTCCGCCTCTTTGGGATTTACTTGGCAATGAGAGCGTTGTCAAGGGCAGCAAGAGTGTTGCCAAGCTTAGGTGCACGAGATAGCACCAAGGCAAAAGAGAAATGGGCAAGCGATGGCCAAGGTCTTGAGACAGGCAAGACATGCTTGGCAAAGGCTTGACAAGGCAGTGTGGGCAAATTGGTGCGGCATGGCACAGCATGCGCGCCAAAGACAAAGGTGCGGGCGATTCGGTTTGTGGTAGCGGCAAGTATAGGCTAAGCTAAATCAAGATAGCGCGGAATGATAGCGAGGGGTCTCAATAGCTAAGGCAAGGCTATGTGAGGCAAAAGACAAGCAATGGCACGGGTAAGACAAGTATTGACACAGACAAGGCAGAAACGCGGCTAAGGCAATGTGCGTGCGACAAGAGTGTCGGGAGTGTGCGGCAAAATCATGGGCAGATGGTTGCGTACAAGGCATTGGTGCGGGGTAATGTCAAAAGGCGCCAAGACTGGGCGCAATGCCAGCCTTGGGCGTGCAACAACTGACCAAGTGAAACAGGCACATGTATTGCACATGCCAAAGTAGAGGGCGTTACCTTGTTGTAATGACTTGTACTCATGTTTGTGTAATGCTTGTATCTAATATTATTTCGTGTGGGAAAATGCCTAAGTAGTTGGGGGATGTCAACTACAAGTTAGGATAGATTAAGCAATGCTGTGTGACAGGCTTGTTTCAGTGGATGGTGGGGCCAATGATCCACCAAAGGGCTAAGTGTTCCACAAAACAGAGCTAAGTGCTGAAGAGGGCCATTTCGTGGGTGAGTGCCTCATTAAATGGTTAAGTGCTTTTTTAGTGCTTTGACTGAGAAAAGCACTAGAATGGATTTGCCCCTTTGTAAGTTGCCCCTTAAAATCTGCCAGTGACAACCCATATATCTATATATATATATGGGGCATTTCGTGATCAAGAGACAAGAGAGAAGAGTCTTGAGATCTAAGACTAAGAGTAGTCTTAAGAGAGGCCCAAAAACGTGTAAGAGTGCATGTTTAACTTAGGAAAGAGTTCCTAAGTCTGTTTTCAAGAGTGAAAACAGCTAAGCCTAAGAGTAGTCTTTGAGAGAAAACCTGAAGGTCAAGAGTGATCTTCTTTTGTACGCGGAGTACTTAGAGTTGAGTTTCTTTGTATACTCGAGTTATAAATACAAAGTTGGGAAAAGAGTTTCCTGTAAATTATGCCTTGTGTTCTTGTCAATATGTCATTGCCTTACTTTTAATTCGTTGCCTAAATCAGTTCAATAAGGCTTACTACGTTGAAGCTGCCCGAAAATATTCTAAGTCCAAAGTTGCTGTAATTTTGGCCGAGTATTGGATAGGCTGAAGTCAAGTGAGAGACTTGGCTGCCGCACAGGTAGGTTTCGACACACAGAAACCACGCCCGTGACAACTGGTATCAGAGCTAAACGAGAACTACTATGAACTGGGAGCAGTGCAGGTTCGTGACGGAGGCACGATGAGCTGTGGCAGATTTAGTGGTCTTGTTTGAGAACATGGCTGGTGGTAATGTTGAACTGCGGGAGAGGCTAACGAAATTGGAGGCATTGATTGGGAATGTCCCCGAAGGTGATGAAATTGAGACCCTCATGACAAGGCTTGCCAACCTTGAGGCGGAATTGGCAAGGCTGAGTCAAGAGAATGAGGATTTGAAATGCGAGACAGTGGTGCTAAGACGTGCTGTGGGCGAGGATGTTCCTCAACGTGGTGCTGATCGTCTCCATGTAAAAATTCCTGAACCAAAGGCATTTGGAGGTGCAAGGAGTGCACGCGAGCTGGAGAATTTTCTTTGGGATATGGAGCAGTACTTTCATGTTATTTGTGTGAAAGACGAAAAGGAAAAAGTAACCTTGACTAGCATGTATTTGAGTGAAGATGCTAAGTTATGGTGGCGCACCCGTGTAGCCGAAGATGAAAGTCTGGGCCGACCAAAGATCGAGTCGTGGGAGCGACTCAGAAAGGAGTTGAAGGATCAATTCCTTCCAAACAATACGTCCTGGATTACTCGGGACAAACTGAAAAGGTTGAAACATACCGGATCAGTGAGAGCATATGTCAAAGAATTCATTTCTTTGATGTTGAGTATAAGCAATATGTCGGAAGAAGACAAATTGCATAACTTCATGAGCGGGCTGCAACAGTGGGCACAATTGGAGTTGCGTAGGCAGAATATACAAAACCTCGCAAGTGCCGTGACTGCGGCTGATGCATTGGATGATTTTCACTTGGGAGAAGACTCTTCTACTTCAAAGTCCAACGACGGAAAGAAGGACAAAGCAAGGGAGTGGAAGAAAAGTGAAAATAGCAATGCTAATGAAGACAAGGGGAAGGGAAAGCAGGAGGCTGGAACTTCCAAGAGCAAAGAGAAGGGCAGATTCAGTGGCTGTTTCCTTTGTGATGGGACACATCGAGCAAGAGACTGCCCAAAGAAGGCAGTGTTGAATGCTATGACTGCCGCAGATATGAGAGCTGCATAGGAGGCAATGACCGGCGACAAACAAATGTTTGGTGTCAATGCAATTGTGGCAGAGAACAGAGGAGACCGAGGGGCGTTGATTGTCAACCCCTTAGGACTCATAGGTTGAGTTAATCGACGAGAACGTCGAGTTTCAAAGGGTGCGAGTGGTTTGTTAGCCCTCTGCCTCTTTGGGATTTACTTGGCAATGAGAGCTTTGTCAAGGGCAGCAAGAGTGTTGCCAAGCTTAGGTGCGCGAGATAGCACTAAGGCAAAAGAGAAATGGGCAAGCGATGGCCAAGGTCTTGAGACAGACAAGACATGCTTGGCAAAGGCTTGACAAGGCAGTGGGGGCAAATTGGTGCGGCATGGCACGTCATGCGCGCCAAAGACAAAGGTACGGGCAATTCGGTTTGTGGTAGCGGCAAGTACAGGCTAAGCTAAATCAAGATAGCGCGGAATAATAGCGAGGGGTCTTAATAGCTAAGGCAAGGCTATGTGAGGCAAAAGACAAGCAATGGCACGGGTAAGACAAGTATTGACAAAGACAAGACAGAAGCGCGGCTAAGGCAATGTGCGTGCGACAAGAGTGTCGGGTGTGTGCGGCAAAATCATGGGCAGCAGGTTGCGGACAAGGCATTGGTGCGGAGCAATGTCAAAAGTCACCAAGACTGGGCACAATGCTAGCCTTGGGCGTGCAACAGCTGACCAAGTGAAACAGGCACATGTATTGCACATGCCAAAGTATAGGGCGTTTACTTTGTTGTAATGACTTGTACTCATGTTTGTGTAATGCTTGTATCTAATATTATTTCGTGTGGAAAAATACCTAAGTAGTTGGGGGATGTCAACTACAAGTTAGGACAGATTAAGCAATGCTGTGTGACAGGCTTGTTTCAGTGGATGGTGGGGCCAATGATCCACCAAAAGGCTAAGTGCTTCACAAAACAGAGCTAAGTGCTGAAGAGGGCCATTTCGTGGGTGAGTGCCCCATTAAATGGTTAAGTGCTTTTTTAGCGCTTTGACTGAGAAAAGCACTAGAATGGATCTGCCCCTTTGTAAGTTGCCCCTTAAAATCTGCCAGTGACAGCCCATATATCTATATATATATGGGGCATTTCGTGATCAAGAGACAAGAGAGAGGAGTCTTGAGATCTAAGACTAAGAGTAGTCTTAAGAGAGACCCAAAAACGTGTAAGAGTGCATGTTTAACTTAGGAAAGAGTTCCTAAGTCTGTTTTCAAGAGTGAAAACAGCTAAGCCTAAGAGTAGTCTTTGAGAGAAAACCTGAGGGTCAAGAGTGATCTTCTTTTGTACGCGGAGTACTTAGAGTTGAGTTTCTTTGTATACTCGAGTTATAAATACAAAGTTGGGAAAACAATTTCCTGTAAATTGTGCCTTGTGTTCTTGTCAATATGTCGTTGCCTTACTTTTAATTCGTTGCCTAAATCAGTTCAATAAGGCTTGCTATGTTGAAGCTGCCTGAAAATATTTTAAGTCCAAAGTTGCTGTAATTTTGGCCGAGTGTTGGATAGGCTGAAGTCAAGTGAGAGACTTGGCTGCCGCATAGGCAAGTTTCGACGGACAGAACCCCCGCCCGTGACACTTACCAAGGCGATGATCAGTAGCTGAGGAACTGAGACATGTCCGCAATGGGCTAAAGCCTGATTTACCCCTTCTCGTTGGATGACCGACCCTTTCTTAGACTTGGTAAGCTCCTGTCGCGATGAATTAAACTTTGTTCCATGCCCCCTGCTTGTCAATCACATCGGAAAGTCGTTGGGTCAGCAGAGACCTCTTTCGGCAAAGTATTATACCACAAAGCCCGTACGAGTAGCGAAGAAGTATGGAGCACTTTGGTTGGTTGTTGACCAATGAAAAGCATGGGAGAAAGATGCACAAAGAAAAAAGGGCTTAAAAAAGGACAATCATTTGATTTCTTTCTTGCTCTCCCTTAGCAGCGGGAAAGGAGTCTTATCTATCTGCCTAGCTTTGGTAGATATGATATCCCCCAACGCAATCCTGTCATCTGGAAAATTTGCACCCATTGCCTATGCTATATGTCTTGCACTTGTTATCAAACTTGTCAGCATGATTCCTCGAGAATGTTTTGTGTGAATTAGCCTTATAGTAAAGCAGCCGTTAAGGTGGCTAGCGACTCATACTCTCACTATGTTGCTCTTTTCTTTTGAGACATTTTAAGGGTGTTCATCTGTCCCGCATATGCAAAACATTGCACATTCCAGTAAAATGATATTGTAGAGTATTTTTACAGTATCATTGCAATTTTACCGCTTTGACTCCCAAGTACAGAGAGATGGTGTAGGCTTTGAGTGGGGGATGTAAAACATAGGCTCAGACACTTGGTCTAACAGAAACATAGAGCATCAGGATACAATCTTTATTAG